TTGGTCAACTCTGCTCGGAACAAACTTCATTTATTAAACCCGAGCATGGGTTTTAGGCCTTTTTTGTCATCATGCCGGGGTTGGGGAGACCCTCTTTCCCCCTTCCTTTTTGGCCAACTCGTCTTGCTCATGGGTTTTCTCAGGGCGAGGCACCTTTTCCTCTGTGAGCAGTGTCAAGTTAAAGTAATCGATTAGCCACATTCTGTTAGACTGCCCTCTCTATCAATGAGCACGCAGAATTTACCTCCAACGTCGTCTTCGTTTTTACTACTCTCTCTTTACCTTCCCTTCTTGCTGATGGACCCTCCTTTAATCCTGACTCTCTCATTGTTTTCCCTTGACAACGACTGATTTAACCACAAACTTTTGATGATTCTTTTCGCACTCCCCTCACCCCCTTTCTAGTTCGCCCTCTTGCTGCCCTTTACCCTTTCACCATCCACTACCCCGCTTGTTATCCTAACCTATTACTCATCCATCTCCCTTTTGCCACCTGATGCCCTCGCTTCCTTCCTGCCCTGCAGGCTGTAATAGTCCTTGTGGCTTAGCGTTTCCCTTTTTGATTATAAAAATAATCAAACACACACACTTTTAGGTGTGTGTACACACACACACACTACACTACTAATACACTGTTACTATTACCACCACCACCATCCTTCTCCTTTCATATTTACCTTTGCCCATATCATGTTTTAAAATCAGAGGACTGAGGAAGGGTTGGTGAGGTGGTTTGGGCATGTGTGATTATAAATACGTATATATTGTATATGTATCCTTTAAGTCTTATGTACCATATTATGTAATAAAATAGTAAAACCTATTGGTAAAAAATTAAAAAGATGGTAGAAGTGGAATATTGAAATGGCTTCAGAAAGAAAGAAAAAAAATTTTCCTCGAAGCCTTTTTATCCATTTTCTCCCACTGAGGCAGGGTGACCCAAAAAAGAAAAACACTTTCATCATCATCTTTCACACATAATCAATGTCTTTATTTAAATATTGCTACCAACACACACACAGGCGTGAAGCATGGATTTTTGAATATTAAGACCAAGGAGGAGACTGGAGGCAGTGGA